CTGCTATGTGCAAAGTTATAGCTTCATGAGAGTAAGTGTGGCAGTCAGATCATATAAGCCTGTTCTTTGATTAATAAAGAGAAAGGACTGAGGAATGAGGTTCCCACCATACCTCAGCCACAGCAACATTAGACGGCAGCTCTTAGTTTCCTGGTTATACTACTAATAAGTCTCTGGTTTGAAACTAGCCTGTAAATATGAGAACATGTATTTATATTTTAGTAACCTACTTGTACTTGAGGCCTGAAAGAATTTGGAATGATATGGCATGCTGCCTTTAAAGTAATTTCTGCAGTTACAGGCTACTGCCAAATTTGAAGCAGTTGCATTTCCTGATCAGTCCGTGTTGGCTTGCTTGTCACAAATTCTTTTTTTGTTCTACTAAATATTTCAGCTATTTTTAACTGCTACTGGCATGGCAAATATTATATGCATGAAGAAGATCAGCTTTAATACCTGGACAGTAGGTCCACTTCCATGGTAACTTTTTCATGTGAAGCTTCACATAAGAAACTATCTTGGTTAAAGTGTTACTCTTCCTACCTTCCAGTTTGCGCACATGTAAAATGAGGGAAACAAGGTTTCCCTGTTCTACTGGCTCATTAATAGGATGGTAAAAATAGTTTTAAGGTTGATTATGTGTAAGGGAGCTGTCTCCTTGTCCAGCAGAGGTGGATTTCTAGAGACAGCCTTCCTCTATGCAGAGAAAAGTGTATGCTTGCAGTTTTGCGTGCGGACGTTTTAGAAATGACTCCTTTCACTCATTCCAAAAGAATCCCCTGATTCTTTTAAAGATTTGCCGTATTACTGTATTCATTATGTCACAGGTGCCTCTTTTGAGCGTGTCCTTGAAAAATGTGTTCCTTTCTAAGGATCACTTCTAAGCAAGAGTACTTCACAAATCAGTGAGTGCAGAGAAGGCAGATACATAGATTAAAACAAAAGACCTACAAAATAAAAACAAAAACACTGCAAGAGTATCCTAGCTCTTCCTGTATTAGCAGATCTTTTTCTTACTGACTGATTTAGCTAAACAGAGTGGTTAGTGAGTGTATTTCAAGGAAGAATTGGTTCACTGTTGTATTATTCCAGGTTTATGGTTTAGCTCCTTTGAAGTGTGTTGGTGTAAATTAGGTACAAATCAAGCTTTCTCATGGAACGTGAATGCAGTAGTCATAAATCTGCAAGTCTGATGCATGGAGAAGAACTTCTGTTAACTTGGAGACTAGGTCTGCTAGTGCTAGAGGAGCTATTCAGTCTTCAGCAGTTTCAAAGACCACTGTTCCCTGGAGTTCTCTTTCGAAACGTTCTTATTCTTGCAAAGTATACTGTACACTGCTTGGGTATCAAAGCAAAATGTATCAGAAAGTGATCTCCGAGGAGCTCTAGAGCAGTACTTCATAAAGATCTTCATAAAGGAAGTGTAGTAGATACAGCTTAGCTACTCATGCCAAATACCAAGTACAGTCAAATGTGGATAAAGCTGTGGAAGAAGACACACCTCAGCCCAGAAGAATCAAGTAAGGAGGTGTGAATGAAGCAAAGGCTTAACGTATCAATGTAGCTGTAAACAAACAAAATACAAAACCACAAAAAAACCCCACAACAACCCAAAACAAACAAAAAAGCCTTTTGCTATTCAGCAGGTTATCAGTCTGAAGCATGCTTCCTTGCACAAGAAAGTCAATGCAGGAAAGAAGAGGAGTAGAGCAAAGGCTTTTTCATGTTTAACAGACAATGGTTATAATAGAATTTCAACTCTAGGTAGTAACTTCTGTCACTTCACTTTGAGGTGGGTTACAAAATGTTTATGCTCTACAGGTTTTTCCTCAGTGTAGAAAATAAACTGAATAATCAGTAGCTATTCAGAGGCTTGGAAGAGGTGTATGCACGTGGGTAATCTGCATGTCTGGGTGAAACACTGTTCTCTGCAAATGCGTAGGTGGTTGTTTTTACTTTTTGTAGCCTGCTACAGATTTTTTGCTATACTTATAAATTCATGTGTAGTTTTTGACCTTTTCCTTTGCCGAGAGTATGAGGAGTATTACAGTAGCATGTCTGCATGCTTGCTGATGTTTAACAGCAAGCAACAGTAAAGTACATTCACTTTGCTCATGAACCAAATAGCATGATCCAGGATATCTTTTCACCTGGGAAAGTAAGTACCAACCTACTTCTTATGCCTTCTTTTAAATCCCAACTTACTTACCGGGCATATCCATGGAGATTAGTTATTTTTTTATACAGTAACAGACAGATGTAGGGTCCTGCACTTTGGTCACATCAAACCCATGCATCGCTTCAGATTTGGGGCAAAGTGGGTGGAAAGCTGCATGGAGGAAAAGGCCCTGGGGGTGTTGATTGATGCTTACCTAAATGTGAGCCAGCATTGTGCCCAGGTAGCCAAGAAGGCCAATGGCATCCTGGCTTGCATCAGTAATAGGGCAGCCAGCAGGAAGTATCTGATCATCCCTACCCCCTGAACTTGGCTCCGGTGAGGCCACAGCTTGAGTGCTGTGTTGAGTGTTGGGCTCCTCGCTACAGGAAATGCAGTGAGGCCCTGGAGCGTGTCCAGAGAAGCGTATTGAAGCTGTGAAGGGTCTGGAGCACAAGTCTTATGGGAAGCAGCTGAGGTAACTGGGTTTAGTCTGGAGAAGAGGAAGCTCATCTGCCTGATACAGGGCTGTGGCAAGGTGGGGATTGGCTTCTTCTCCCATGTAACAGCCGGAAGATGTGACGTGATGGCCTTAAGTTGTGTCAGGGAAAGTTCAGATTTGATATTAGGAAGAATTTCTTCTTAGAGAGTGGTGAGGAACTGGAGCAGGCTGCCATGACAAAAGTTCAGTCACTGACTCTGGAGGTGCATAGGGAAAGGGTAAACGTGGCACTCAGGGGCATGGTGTAAGTGGACAATATTGGTGGTGGGTGCAGAGTTGGGTTAAGTGATCTTGGAGGCCTTTTCCAACCTCTATGATTCTGTTCTTGAATGTAGTTACACTGTAACCTATAACTTGTCTGAGTAAATGAAAATAAAACATTCTTGAATATCCACAAATTAAAGGATGTTATACTTAAGAGAAATTCCCATTGAAGTAATGTAATTCAGTGACTGGCTTTCTTGAGAACCTCAATTCTTTGTTCCTTGTTCAGTATTTTACAGCATTTGAGTAGATCTTTAATTTTACATGAGGCATGGCAGAAGGGTTCTGCTTACACTTTAAAATATTGATAAAGATAGCGCATGTCAAATGCCTGTAATTCTTAAAGCTCTTTAAAAGAATGCCATCTTGTTTTACCTGTTCAAACAACAAAACAACTCGGCGTAGTAATTTTTTGGAGACAGTAACAAGTAATTAACTAGTAGAGGCATAAATTTCTGGAGCTTTGAATGTATCATGTTGATGGAATGTGATGAATTAGAATTGATTGTAATTATAATAAACTTGAGCAATAAAATGTTGACTATTAGAATGCATCATCTGACTCATGCTAACAGTTTTCATAACTGTTTTGTTCCTAGCAGTGGTAGTGGTTCTTTCTACTAAGTCATTTTCTTTTCAGGATTAGCAAACTCAGCATATATGACTCTTTGCACTTAACTTTGTAGAGCTTTCTTGAAGTTCTTTCATACTGGAAAGTCATTTTAGGTCCCTGCAGATGTATAAATTTTCTGACAGCATGGCAGTACACAACACAAAAACTAATGATTATTCTAGGTGAGCCTGAGCTAGAAAAGCTTGGACACTAAATGGGAAAACTATTATGTAATGGGTTGTGTTGAATGCCTTGCATTTTCTTTCTTGGTGTTCATTTTTTACATTCAGTCTAAAACTGTAGTTTTAAAGAAAAAATGCAAATCACTCCTTCAAAGATGTAAGTACGTCGTGGGACTTGGCACGTTTGGAGTTTTTCTACTGGCTGTCATGTTGGTATGATAACAGAGCAGCATGCACCACTTTGAACTGGACAGTAGTGGAAATATGTCATCTTTCAGTAATCCTTATTAAATGTGCTGGTTTTGTTCTGAAGCAGTAAGTTTGTGATGCCCACCTGTGGAACATGGTAACGTGAGATTCTAGAGTCTGTAATATCTTTGATCTTGAATTTTTCGTAACCCAGTGCAATGATATCATCATTGTAGTGGTCTGACTTGCTGAAGAAAGTATGAAGAAAACTCCTTTACCGATTTCCTAAAAATAAACAAAAAAAAAAATAAAAATCAAGTCTTTTTAAAACTCCAGATGCTTCTTGAATTTCAAAACGCATTATTACAGCAACTTAACCATGATTTGAATTTAGGAATTTGAGACAGAGATTACTGTGTTCATGTGCAAGTTTTTGCAGTCTGTAAAGCTTGAGCAAATAGAAGAAATTTCTGTTCTTTATCAGATCTGTGCCATTGGTGTGAGCAAACTGGCTGTGTAACAGAGGCAGAACACATGGAGAATATGTATGCAAGCCAAATGAGTTCTGGAGCAGCTGTAAACTGGAGAAGTGGATAAACTGGCAAGTCCAGGCACAAGGATGGATAAAATAGTCATAAAGCCTAAAAGGCTATGGGAGTATGAGGTGGAACAAATGACCTTTGCAAAGTTCATTCAAAATTCGAGACTGTGTGAAAATACTGAGGTGTTATTTCTCTGGTTGGATCTTGTTTATGTCAGCTGTTCTTCCTCAGGACTTGTAGCTGAGTTTGAAGTAGACTACTAAGGATAGGGCGGTTTCCCATTTTATTTTCCCTAGCAGAGTGGGTTCTGGCATTGTGCTTCTTCAGTTTAGCACTGCACAGTTGCACAAGGGAAACTGCAATTTTCTTGAGTCATTTAATTGTTGCTTTTAAGATTATTATGCAACTGCAAAACTGTCAGTGATAAACATTGTGTTTAATGGCGGGTTTAGTTCTTGTTCTGCTTCATACTTTTTGTTGCTGTCTGAATTTGAGTAGGAATTTTTCTGAGTTAAAATAGTATTTGAGTAATGGTAATACTTTCCCTCTGCAGGATTTATGAACGCATCATTGATCCCCCAGAAACAAATCTGATACCTGAAAGTAATTTATGGCTTGGACAGAGGAACAGGAAACATGGTTTCTTTAAGGTAAGCAGATATGAAATAGTGCATGAAGTAGGAAACTAGGTAGGCAATGAAATATTTTTGATTAGTTATCTTGCATTCCTTCATGTGATTTGTATGAATTTCAGTTGAAACCATGGGCCTGGGATGTGGGACAGGTCCTACACAGAAGAATCTGTTTGTGTAAGGTAGAATACTGTAGCTACTGGCTGAAATGCTGAGTATATTGTGGTTTGGTTCCTTACTTGGGGTTTCACCTACCCACTGTGCCTTGCCTTGCCACTCCTGTGTTCATAATGAGGCTGTTGACAACATCAGAGACGATGGCTTTAATCTTCAAAATTTTCCAAAGCAAAGGCTGAGCTGTAGGCTCCTGTCCAGTCTTAATCCCTTTTGGAGACTTGTCTCTCCATGACTTTATTAGCAGAGTATCCTCACATGATGCTTAAGGGTGTCTGTTCTTTGTTGCCTTTTCCAGCATTGGCTTCCAGATTAGAGGAGATCTCCTAGGCCGTGCTCCTGCAGTCTTTGTCAGATACTCGTTGTTTTTGTGCAGTGCCTGTGCCTTGCTGCAAAACAGTAGATTTTCTGTTTCTGGAATAACTTCATTTCTCTGTATTTTTCTCAGACAAGCACGTCATGTCTCAGCAGAGTGAGTAATGGGTGGCTGGGTTTTGTTTATAAGCTTCTTTGTCCTTTTGGAGCTCCAAGCCCAGGCTACTTGTAAGGCTGACTAGCTGGCAGGATGGTCTTACCATTTATAAGTCTTCCCAAGATACTGTCATTGAATATGCCAGTACATCCACGTGAAATAAAAATTTGTGAAGGAAAGATAAACGACCAAAGGCTTGAAAAGTTCTCTCCTATATATTTCATTTAGGTGTTTTTTTTTTTTTGTTTTTTTTTTTGGCTTTTGGTGATCCTGTATGATTTTGATTGATTTTCAATTGCAGAATCAACCAACAAAAAAAAACCCTCCTCCACCAGAAGCAATCTACAGAAAAACTGACAATATTTCTTCAGGTTTTGGTTAACAAGCCATGGACTATCTATCAGTAAAAGAGCCTATATGGTGTATTGATAGGCCAATCCGTATATCCTTGATATTGGCATGGATTTGTTGCCAAGGTGATTTACTGCCCACTCGGTTCACTTTGAAGCAGTCAATTCATAAGATAATTCTACGAGTTGCTGCATTTTTGAGGACCTTGCCTCAAATCCTCAACCTCTTGAGAAGCTAGGAATTTTATTTTTATGCTAAAATTATTTAGGGTAGGATTGTTGTAGCAAATAATAATTTTAATTGTGAAACAGAGATAAAAGCTAACTTTTCTTTCAAGTTAAATTATGGTCGAAGAGTTGCTCTGAACCTGGAGTTCATTCCATCTTTGAGCAGCTGGCTGTCACTGTAAAGTGAAATTGATAGCATTATTTTATTTTACAGCTGCTGTTTTTTTACCTCAGCTGCTTCCCGTAATTCCACAGATGGTAAACATATGTTTATAGCTATGTAGGAAAAAAAAAGTCATTTTGGATTTGCTCATCTTAAATTCTCATTTTATGCAGACATCCGATGCCTCAGAACTCTGGTATATTATGTAATTGTAAATTAATATTTCAACGTATTAACACTTCGGAAACAGCAGGGTAGCTAATGATATGCTAATGAGCTGACCATTTTTATTGATCGTAATGAAACTCAACAGGTGCCTTTGCTTCATGCATGCTTAAATATTTCTCTAACTTTCTTCGGGACAGAAATAGAATTGGTTGTATTTTTTTAATCCTGCTTTATAGTTTTAGAAGTCTTACTTTTGTATGTTGCTCATACCAAAAACTTGGGGCTTTGCCATTTTGTAAAGAGTACGCATCCCTTTCTGTACATTTACATGGTCAGCAGGACCCTCCCATTCTTTTTCAGAGCAATTTGTTTCACCATTTTAGTATATAAATAAATAGATCTGTTTTCCGTAGTGCAAACAGTGCTCTTCAGGGAAATAAGAGCATTAAAGAAGAATTAGCATATTTTGTGTTTGTGTTGGAGCCATGATAATATGTGTATGAAAAAGCACTGGATACTGTTCTAAGCATCATCTATGCTGTTGCAAAAATAATCTTATTTTAATGGTAGCTAGTTAATTAATTGTTCTTTCACTCTGTAAGTGAATAGCATTAGAGTACATTCTACGCTAATTTCAAGTGATGATTCTTCAGTGTATCGGAAGAACAAGGGGAAGGATGTGGTCTTCTAGTAGAATATTTCTAAAGCACAGCGGCTGCTCAGTGGCTGCCATTTTTCTTATGTTTTGTTCCCAGTCCTTACTCTCAGTGATTATTCCACAAATAAGCTTGCTGGGGAATCAAGTGCTGTACGGCGTAATGGAGTGGAGGTGTCAGCCTCCCACTAGGAACTCTCGCTATGTAGTTTGACTGTTGTGGCCAAACATTTGGAATTCAGACAAGGCTGAGTAGTTGTGGCATATCACTGGTGGGAGCTAATGCAGACCAAATTTAATACAGCTAGATCTGTTTGGTTTGAAGGGAATCTCATGAATTACTTCCTTTGAAAAACACGCATAGACCCTTTGGGCTTCTTTGTGTGGCCCAGAAGCGAGATTTCTTTTAGTGCTGAAGAATACTCATATAATGAGATTGGGAAACAAAAGGAAAGAAAGATGGTGACACCAGGCTTGCAGAAGACCCTTATTCTAGGATGGAATTGATGGCTATCGTTGTCAGAATTACTTGCAAAAATTCATTTTGTCATTGAGGAGCACCCTTCCCCTTAAGTTTCCCTCCAAATACTACTGCAGAAATGAGCTTGTTAATGCATTGCTGCCTAAATGATCCTTGTTGAAAGACCATAATTTTCAGATCTGCTCTAGAAGGCTTTGATCTTACAATCCCACTGTTGTTTCTGAGGTACAGCAGGTGCTTTGTGTTTTAACTGTACATCATCATACGTGCACTCAGGCCTCTGTAGATGTTTTGGTCCTGTAGTTAGAAGGAATAAGGTGAAGTCAGTTTTTCAGGTGCCTGACATGGAGTTCTTCACTGTGTAGAGGAGCATAATGCTGATGTGGTGCTCGTCTAGTGGGGTTGCTGTAGCACTGCCTAGACATGGGGCTTAGAGAGCAGCTGCTGAGACATCTGTGCAGAGTCTATTATCAACTTTAGCCTATGCATTTTACACAGCTGTAAGGCTCGCAGTCTTTGAGGCAAAAGTAGGTTTTAAAGGGTGAGAAGCAATGGAGGAAGTGAAAATGTAGAAATAAAGGACTTGTGCATTGCATGGGTCTTTACAGAGTGTGTGGGATAAATCTTCCATGTAGTATGGATATGAAAAGTGCAATAAATAGGGCTTTTGTATTTGTAAATCCTCATGGGATGGGCTTGGTATTTAGTGCCACAAACCTGAATTTAGTCTTGCTGCTGGTAATCTGTGCAGATGGAGGATCTTCACACTAGAGCATCATGAAGCTCTGGCTGTAGTTATAAGTTTAAATATCAAAGATAAATGGTGATGTTTCCTTGGGAAAGGAACAAAGAAGATTTTGACACCTGATATCTCTCTGTCAAGGCCAAATTCTCATATCTTACCACAGAATATGGATTGAGAAACTCTGCCTGGTGCTAAACTAAACTAGGGATTTGCCCCCTGGGAGCTGTGCATGCCTAATTCTTCTGGTTGCAGCTGTAGGAAGCTCTAAGCAACCTAGACTTAATGCTGAAGGAGGAATAGTCCAGGTTCCTTCATAAGTGTTGCAGTAATTATGGCTGTAATAAGCTTTTGCATGTAATGAACTCTTTCTGTTAAAAAAAATACATCAGCGAAATCTGTGCTCCTTCGAGTTAAAGGGTCACTTCTGTATTTGATTGTGGTAACTCTATTTCAGAAGGGTTTTTTGGTACAGAAGGCATCTGTCCTGCTAAATTGGTGTTCTTACATCAACCCATAGTAACGTTTTCATGAAGCCAGGAAAAGAGACAGAAATAAGTTTACTCTTCAGGTTGAAAAAAAAAAAGCATTGCTTTTCTCTGGATGACTTCTTAACTCTGTGTGATGCTACACTGAAACTTTGTAAACTCATCTTTTCGTGATTAAGCCTTTCGCTGGAGAGGCTTAAGCCCTGAAATGTGTTTTTGTACCTCAGCTTCTGATTTCTTACTGATAACTACTAGCAGAAACTGCATAAAATGGCTTTCAGGATGTTTCTTTTCCTGTTGACAGCATTGCTTCTCATTATTACGATGGTTTCATTATTCTCGTAGATGAAAAGGTTAATAAATATATACGCTTCTGCAGGAAAGACAGTGTGATCTGATTATGTCTATTAATATTTTCAGTTAATATTTCATCATAAAGCAGTAAGACGGTGCTTCTCATTACCTTCTGCTGTCTTAGAGAGCGAATATGTAAATGTGAAATGTTGCTGCATTTGCAGGGCTTCAAGCACAATGGCCTATATTTTATTTATGGATTGAAATGAGCATTTTGAGCAAGTGACTGCCCTTAGTCTGCAAAAACTGCTTCACTGCGAGTTAACCAAAAACTATAGTGATCTTAGAAATCAGTAATTTAATTAGGTAATAACTGCCATGATCTTTAATTTGGAAGGAAATGTATTAAATTCTTCTGTGTCTGGGAGGAGACAGGCGTGTCATTCTGTCTGATGAACAGTCGGGGAAATGTAAATTGCAGTGCTTGCAGTCCCTTGTGTTCCCTTGCTCCTCTTACTTAATGACTATGCCATTATTAAAGAAGTTAGTGGGTGCTGGGGAGTAAGCAGGCTACACAGTACAAAAAAAAAGTGCAGGAAGAGCTTTGCGCTGAGTGAATGCACCTCCAGCATTTTTAGGCTACTGGACACTTTAGGGTTTCTCAAGGCAGACGTGTGCAGGGATTACAGGGTGACGCTTTGAGTCCTCTGCTTTTGTCAGGAATTCCTTTGCAACTCAGAGATAGCTTGCAGGCTGGCACTGGATCTTCTGGTACTTATTCCTGCCCTGCTTGGTCTGATCTCTGAGCCTCACGTGACATGCAGTCTGTTCCTGACCTTGGAGTCCTGATTTCCTCTAGCCCTACACAGGGGATCTCTCCATCTGCCTGGGTTAGAAAGCAGATTTAATTCTAACTGATGGTGTGATTACATGAACTGTTTGCTGAGATACAAAGCCAGTAGGCTGCATGACCCAACAGTTAAAATATAGATGCTTACCTCTTGCTTTTTATACTGTTCCTTGTATAATGATAGATTTCATAGTCTTGTTTGGCTAAATCACTAGAGAGTAGTGCTGTGGTGGTGTTTTATTTTCTTGTGGTCAAGTGTCTTGTGTAATAGGTATTATTTAATGTATCTTTTCACTTGTTTGATCCCATTTTGAGACATTTAAGCAGCTTACACTTGATTGCAAAACACAAAACTAAAAAAAGCACGGTATGAAAATTACACAAGAAGCGAGGGAGGAAGAGTTGCTGGTTTTTTTCATCATCTTGAGCTGTATTCCACGTTAGCAGACTGCACTGGTCTCTTCTTTGTACACTATCAACAACTGACTTATGACACAGGTCAAAGTGAATGTTTGTATTCTGTATTACCAGTTATCTCTTCTTTTACAAAGGGTGTTATTCAAGATGTGAAAGTTGTCTTTATACCTAATGGATATATAACGCAGTGTCCTAATCTGAATCGCAGTAAGTATTATTTTCTAAATCTCTTTTTTTTTTAATGTGGATGATTTTTTTATTCTTGTAAAAAAAATATATATATATTTTCAGGATTGTCATTCTTGCGTGTGCTGACACAATGACTGTAAACAGATTGTATTTTATGTGCAGATAAGCAGCATGTGACATGTTAGCTGTGTGATAGACTTTATTTATTTATGGGTTATTTCCCTCTTTCCCCTCTTTTCCTCCCTTCCTTTTTCTTTTTAAACTTCCTTTATTGAGCATGCCCAACCTGCAGTGATTTCTTAAGCCTGGTGCAAGGAATCATGGATTTACAAGAACTCCTGGCGAAAATGACTGCAAAAGTAGGTACCTAAACATCTTTGTCAATTCCCTCTTTCTTTTTGGACTAAGACCATCATATAAGTCTGTTCCTTTTGCAGTTATTTTATGTTTTCATGGTAGAGCTGGTTTTCCCCTCTTTCTGCCAGTAGCCTTATCTGCAGTGGACTTAAGGAGACAGTTTTGTGGATGTCACTTAATTCTCATACAGCTTCTATTGTCTGGCGCAGCATTTGGTAGCTAGCGACAAAATGCCTGGGGTTTGATTTCTGTGAGAAACCTTAGCTTGATTTTCTTTTCCATGCTGAGGGACAAATGTGGAAACAAAGGAGTGAAATCCCTCAACAATTTCCTCACCATGTGATTCTGTCAGTGTGTGGTTTTTGCCTGTGGGGAGTCCTGTGAAATCTTCAGGACTGGCATCGTTTCTCCTTGGGAGCTGAAATGAGGAAATGTCTATAAATCTGCTGGCTGTGCTGATCTCAACACCTTTGATCAATGACTTTTACAGTGTAGAAGTGAATTCAGCTCCAGTTAGGCACGGTGGTGTGTGGTTTTCTTTTTCCTTCCCCTTCTGTTTTGGATTGGAGAAATGGTGAATGGGAAGCTGCAGCGATTTTTGCTGGGGACTTTCCTTAGGCTCTGCTCCCACACTGTGCAGCCAATATCTGTCTTACCTAAAGCCCTTCAGCTCAGGCTGTGGTCATGTTCCGGGTTAGGAAGCTGTGTTTTTGAGATGGATGATCCCTTGGCTTGTGCTGAAGGGAACCCTGGGAACATTTTTTTATGTTAATGTCAGTGAAACATCTGTTCTTATTAAGGAGCAATTAATTGTCTTACATGAATCAGCATTTGTGTGTTAACTACTTGTAGATTTAAGTGCAACAAAAACCATCCTGGAGTTACTTGCAATCTCAGTGTTGTTACTGGAAAGGAATTTCAGAACTAAGATGTGCATAGTAGTGCTACTAGCAGAAAAACATTGATATGTATGATACTTGTTACTCTGCTGCTTCTAAGTGTCCTTTCCTTTCCTAGCAGGGAGGGAACTTTTTTAAAGATAATGTGCACGTTATACTGAGAATCCAGTTACCCAGCTGATATGGTTTGGACAAGCTGACTCCAAATAGGAAATGCGAAGCTTTTAGTTGAATTCACTGCTTGCAGTGTGAAACAGGCAATTATTTTGAGCCCTGCTGATGCCGTGAGCAAGTTCCAATTATGCACTGTACTGAGTAACTTGCTTGCACTGCTGTTAATTACATTTTTGCTTGCTAGTACTTTACAAGGGAAAGCAAATAATGCAGCATTTGTACTGCGAAGACTCTGTACTTCCAGAACATGGTGCTGAGATAATACTTCTTTGTGAGTTCCTTTTCAGTGATAGTAGTGTAGACTTTTGTTTTTGTAGCAATGTGTGCAGAAATACTATTATTCAGGAAAAATACTTGCAGCAGAAAAAGAAATGATTTTGGTAGAGAAATGCAAATTAGAAATAGAGAGGTGTGAGAGAAGCATTAAGATTTGTATCCGTCTGTCCAGTCCTGGAGGTCAGTAGCCACAAGTAATACTAGTGCAGGTATAAGTAATATCGTATGGGACATTGGGCAAGCAAAGAGCAGGATTTGGAAGAATGTACGGCATCCTGCAGAGATCCCATTTGGCAGGGCAGGTGGTCAGAGGATGGCCTGCTAACGTGCATGGGCAGTGATGCCTGGCTTCTGGCCCTGCATGAGGAGATGCAGAGAATGAGCGTGATGTTTTGGAATAGCAGGCCCTGTGGTTCCAAGTTCAAGTGTAGCTTTTAGGATCTGTGATAGCTAGGGTTTCGCTTACTCCCTCAGTCTGTAATTGGTTACAGATGTATAATAACCCAGTGAATGTTGTTTGCAATGAATGTGCAAGTGCTGTTCATATAATGCAAAACTATGAAGATGCAGACCAGGGCTGTTGTGGAAAGAAAACATCATGCCTAGTGACAGCAGGGTCCCGTAATGTTGGTAGCTGTGCAAATTATGCAGTAGATAGGAGAGGAGCTCTGTGGGCTCTCCCTTGAGCTTTATCTCAGGGCCCCATGAGTCTTGTGCTGGTGCAGAGGCAAAGCACTGACTACAGAAAGTTGTTGTGTAGATAGTAAACAGGATTATACAATGATGACCTGAAACGAGCTTACTGCCGTTGTCTTCTTTGTACCAATGTTTGTGAAGACATAGTTTCTAAAGCTCATGCTTATTTTGCCATCATTTAAATTATTGGAATCTTTCCAATGAATTAGTTCAATTGATTTAATCTTCTGTCTGTTAGTAGGGAAGCACTGCAGATCAGTGTGTTAAAAATTGAGCTAACATGTTCATTTGCTGCAGGTGAAAAGGAGCATGCTATATTTCAGCACTCCCAACTGACGTGCTGAAATACTGCTGGCTTCTCTTTAAAAATTATAGGTAAAACAGTGCAATTTTTGCACTGAAATCAGTGTGGGCATCTTCTGCATCCACTTGGAGAGTGGATTATAATTTATTTTTGGTAAATTATGAGCTCATGTGTAAATGTGCTTTTCATTCATTTATTTGTTGCTGGGGCTGGAAGGAGATTCTGAAGACTGTCAGTGCAAAACTTTCTAGGGAGTCCTTCCTTCACTGAGGTCAGACAGACTGCAGCTTGGATTTGATATTTAAAAAATAAATAAAACTCTTGAGTTCCTGGAATAGTTCATCTCATTTGTTCATATTGTGAATGTATATGACCATGGGTAATTCTGTGAACAAAATGTTCCTGTTCACATTTGATGGGTTGTTTTGTGAGACATTTGTTATTAATTTGTTATTAGCTTCACTAGAAATAACATGCTTCAAACAGAAATCTCTTTGCAATTATTTGTGTGGACAAAAGAGAAACATGGAAGGTACACTATGTGAATAACAGCTAGCCCAACATTCCTGAATGTTAAGAACTCAGGATTAGGCTAGTATGTGGAAACTGGTATGGTGTGGGCTTCTTCAGTAGTATATTCCCGTTCATATCCTATGAAATGTAAGATATATGAAGAGCCAGATTTTAAAAGTTTAGCAAATTTAGTTTTGTGCATTTGACAACGTTTGGAAGGGTATTTTAGCTGATTTCATGGAGCAGGAGGTAAATGAGATTTAAACAACAACAAAAAAGCTTACTAAGCAAAATAATATAAACAATCCAGAAAGCTGTAAGGGAGAAAATATTTATTTTCTTAGTGTTTTCTTCTTTGCCTGGAGATATTTATAGTCCTGACAAAGGATATTAGATACTATTTTCAAAAATACATGTTCTGGGAAAAAAAAAAATTAAACATTGTCTAGCAAACATATGTGAATGTTCATTGTTAATTTGTTTTTTTAAATACGAGACCTGTTATAAAGTAGAAGCACAAGACAGGTCAGACACCTTTTAAATGAAACTAAATATGGCTTTTAGGTGGTAAACATAGTGACTAAATAGAACAATCAGAAAAGAGGTTCTGTTGAAAGCAAGCAACTCAGTAAGAGGATAGTTTTGTTTCTGAAATGTGAAGAGCAGTTTTGAAATCACCAGATGTGCATTCTGGGGAGATGTGTATCAATCCCAGTATTACACTAGATAAACAGTTTAAGAAATAGAGAACAATTATTCAGAGCTTTCTTTCCTCAGGACTGCAGAGGAAACAGGCCACAGCTACTTGCCTGCTAATTTCTTCCTTTTCTTCCTCTAAATATCTTGCTCTTATACTGGCAGAAATGAAAAAAGGCTTATTAGAATATTTTTACGTAAAGTGGTTGGAATTTTAGAGGATGAAAATGTATAAATGTCGAATATATACCATCATGTAAAAAAAGCCTACAGCACTGCACACCTTTGTAAAGCCTATAAATCAGAATTACAGCACTGGATTCATAACAGGATAAGGTATGCATTCATTTTGTCATTTGCCTCAGTGTTTGCAGTGATTCCAATGCAAATGTGAAAGCAAAAAAAATCAGGACCTTGAGAAATTGCCTTCTAGCTGGCAATGGGATGGTTTTTAGAGCAGTGGCAGTTGTGGGGTCAAAAGAATGCACGTTTACTTCCAAATATGCAGTCTGGATTTTTTAATTTCAAATTTTATTTGGATTTGTAGTTAATGTCACTAGAAATTGTGTTAAGGGTTAGAGATGATGACACTGGTACCAGATATGCATATGGTGGGAGTGTTCCTCCCTGGATTAATCTCACCTTAAGACAGTGCCTCCGAGGAAGGGAAGGTCTGTGAGGTGGTGAGGAGGGATTTCCAAAAGCCTTGCCTTCTTTCTACTGCTGTATGAATGTGCTTTGCCCCTACTTGTTATTGCATTGTATCTCGTTGGTCAATACAGCAATTGCTGGTGTGTAGATAGTAGTAGTTGGAATTGAGGAGGTCATATAAAGAGTAAGGAATGTTAAGTGCTACCCACAAATCCAGGGTTTTTTTCCAGGAGCAGGACTTGTCCATGGGTCAGTCTAGGAATACTACTCTGTATTAGAATGCTGTAAATCTTATTATCATAAAGTTACAGCCTCTCTACAAGTCAGAGAGCATTAGTCTAGCTGATGCTGACAATGAACAGGCGGAAGTAATTAGAAAAAGTCAGTCTGCTAGCTATCAGGACTTAAGATTTGTAAGCAAATTGATGAGCAATTAAGAAATTTGATTTAAAATCAATTGTAGCTTATGCACTTTTCATAGTGCCTAAGGAGATCTTAGTGGGGTTCATTACAGTACGAGAGACAGTTGTGTATATCATAAGCTGATGTTAGATCACACACACAGCTCCATCGAAGTCAGATGAGTAGGGTTATTTGTTACCTGCTGACATCTTGGTTTGGAGTTTCAAATATCGTGGTTAAATTTGGTTCAGATAAAAATAAATTTTAAGTTTTCTCATGTTTGGCTTTTAAAAATTGCATGTTTGAACTGAAGAAATCTCATCAAGTTAATTTCATTTATAGCTAAATTATGCGGAAACAAGACTGAGTCGATTGGAAGACTGTCACTGTGAGAAGACTTGTCAAGTAAATGGATTGATCTATAGAGACAAAGATTCTTGGGTTGAAGATGATCATTGCAGGAACTGCACGTGCAAAGTAAGACTTTCTAAGGACTTTAAGAAGTAGGACTCAAAATGTGAAAACGGTCCTTGAATACATAATATGAATTCCAAGAATTGTTATGTTTTTAGCATACATCTAGTGGCAGAATGAACAATAGGGAGGTAAACAGTAAAATAAATAAATGAAAATCTGACACATCTTATGTTGAAGCTTTAAATATAAAATCTTTCCCTTGACAATCATGTCTTGTATGTTTTGATTATATTTGTGAGGGCTTTACGGTTTTGGGGTGAATGCAGACATTGCTTTTATTTGATTTTTGAATTGTTTTCACAGTAGTTTTTTTAAATGGAAGCCTTATCTTAATAGTATTCATAGATGCTTAGTTGCATCTTGAATGGTAACAACATGCAGATCTTGTTTTCAGCATTTATCACTGTGAAAAACTAAGGAACAGAAGAGTATTAATATGTAAATCTTGTCTTGTCGAAATTATTTGATAAATATCTGAAGAGAGTCTGTTTGTTCAAGAAAATAGAAAACTGATTGTTAAAAGTATCAGAGATGATTGGCACAGCTTACAGAAAGTGGTGCTTATGTTGTTGTAGGGATGAGCTTGTGTACTCTTCTTGATGTGTTATACTCAGGGAAAGCAGAGTAAAACTAGTAAATAGGTACCTACACAGGGATGGCTTATCTTCAGATGGCTTTGGTTTCAAATCTGTAGCTGGATTGGACTAAACTTCTTAATGAAAGATAAGTGTATAATGCATAGAGGTGATTTCATTTGCCATAACAGTTTTCTGCGTTATCTATTTTGTTATCTATATAGTATTCACTAACTACAGGGATTGAATTTTGTCCTAAAAACGTTTTCTTAGAGTGGAGCTGTGGAATGTCGAAGGATGTCCTGTCCCCCTCTTGATTGCCCTCCTGATGCTCTCCCAGTGCATGTGGATAGCCTGTGCTGTAAAGTATGCAAGGGTAAGTAGATCAAAAACGTTTTTCTTACGCCCTCTGTTAAGCACCTAAACTTGGCCTAAAAGCAGGTGCATTTTATAAAGACTTATTAGCTCCTGATGATTCAGGTAAAGCGAGTTGCAGTGGTGAATTTGATTTTTGTAATTTTCTTCTAAATGAACACGCATGGCAAATCTTTAAGATTGTCTTGCTATATTTTGTTGGTGTAAAAGTGTTCTTCTACTTGTTTGTGAAAAACAAGCAGTAATAAAAAAGAATATCTTTGCTGCAGCTTGTACCTCTTGCTGATGAAGCCTTTGGTCTAAACTTGTCACAGTGACAAGTAATAAACTCGGGTGTTATCTTTTTGTCTGTCTTTTATTTCAGTTTGGAAGGTTTTCATTAAACATAATAGAATTTCAGAACCTGAGTGAATGTCACTGTGTACAGTGATTGTTTTTGCTCATTTCAAAATAAGTTGATGAAAAGAAGTAAATTTTGTGGTTAGTCTTGTTAGTCTTCTGGAAATGAAAGCTGTAGGTAACATTCTTGGAAGAAATAGTCAATATTTGATGCCCTAATGGTACTATGAGGGACAAAGACAATTTATACATGGGAATTTTACCTGAGTACTGTTGCCCATCTTGCCTTAAGAAGCAGAAGAAATAAATGTTTTGTCCTCTTCTTGTAGAACATCAAACTTCATGCATAATTTTTTTCTACAAGTTGTAAGACAAAGCTGTTGAATTATTTTAAGATTTACTAGGAAAAGATGAGCGTTTTTTTAGACTTCCTTTGGCTTGCTTTAGTCACTGAATTTATTAGTCGGAAGCACAGATGTCACGAAGGTCACTTGCTGTTATCTCGTTCAGTTGTTTGCTCATGCTGTCTCATTTCTTTCAGTTGCACTTTGTTCTAAGTATTCTGCTTACCACAAGACTCCTATGAACAGGGAACTCAGGTGGAAAGGTGGTGTTGCCTCAATTTTTTTTGTCTCAGAATATCTTTTTATTTAAAATAACGGAGTCTAGAAAGTTCCTTCTTGAATGTGTAGAGTATGGATGCTTTTTTTGACATGTGTTTGCTGACACATGTATGCACAACAGTTAAAATTGGACATGAAGTAATTGCTAGGCACCAAATTGTAGTTTCAGCTTATATCCCCATGAAAAACTGTGGTCCTGATATTTGTAATGGAAAGATGAACAGTCAGAATTGTCTTTTGTCAGTGATTGGCACAAACTTGACTTGTTATTCTGACAAGAACTCAGCTTGTCAGTCAGTGGGAAGAGATGTATGGAAGTTGATTGAAATTGATTGCAAATGCCAGCTCCTTGACAGAATGATATACAAGGGCCACAGTCAGTTGCTTTTGGGTATGTAGCAGTAATTGCAGGAGATTTCCAGGAGGCTGCACCACAGGTGTTAATTTCTCTGAGCTTTTCTTATTTTGCTCTGATAGAATCATCACTTGTAATTTGCTGTCTCTAGGGATTATTGAATGGCTGGATTATTGAAGTTTCCTGTCTCAGCTGTGGGTTAACTAACAAAGCAGTTCTGGTGTCTGATATGTTAAGGGTTTTAAAAATGAGGTGATTCTGTTTTGATCCCTGCCATCTTGTGTTGGCTTTAGATTACTATCTGACAAAAGGCTATAATTGTGTTGAAAATCTCATCATTTTTTCTCAGTTGTGGTTTAACTTGACTTGCTGTCAGGTGTGTCTGTTTTCATGTTAGAAGCAGTCATGTCGGGAGGAAAAATAAAAGAAAACAGAAAAGTTCTTTAATTCATTGTCTCCCAAAAATATTTACTTGAATTACTGATGTAAATGAAACTTCCTGATCTGCAGTTTTTCCTTGTGAGTTTGCAGCTCAGCCGTATAAACTGGGGTATTTTTAGAGAAAGTCAAGAAAACTGAGATACCAAAAGGAAAAAATCTGATTTCTGTATGCATAGTGGACAATGAAAACAGTTCTTTTTGAAAAATTGTTTTTCTTTTTTTTTTTAATTTAAAAGAGCATTTGTATGTATGTTTAAACTGAAGATCCTTAGAAGCACATTTGTGTGAAAGATTATGATGATTGACCTACTATTTCTTTAGTTTCAAGGCGTTTGTAATCAAATTGGCTGTGACAGTTGCTATTGTGGAAAACTGGCTGTTGGCATCAACTGCTAAAATTGTGTGCACACCTGTAGGTGCTTATGAGAGAAGTGGATCTGTGATTTATTTTCTGAGATTTGAGTGCTTAGAATGCTTCCACTTTCACAGTGCTTTTGCTGCAACTCAGGAAATGTTCAAATCTTTGGCCATTTACAGTACATCCTTTTGCTTTCCTTTTAGTGTAATTGGCCAGTCTGTTACTGGTCGAGCACAGAGATAGCAGAAACACTGCAAGAAAATCATATTGTCAGTGTTCAGCATTGAGTTGTTAGTAATGTAGAGTGCCTTTGTGATGGATCCTTGATTTGTGGAAAATAATAGACCAGTTTAGTGTATTTACTGTCCTTTATGGGACTGGAACTTAGATGTTCAGTTTCAAGACTACTATGAATAGTTATGGTAATACTTGACCAAGCTGTTGGCTGCCATGGATTTGCTGGAGTTTGCCTTCTTCGTAGCGGTGGTAATTCTAAACAAAGCTAGTTGATTTTTTCATAGGATGAGGAAAGTTCACTTTCTAATCTCTTGGTTTGTGTCTGGAGCTGGTAGCCTTTAGCAGAGGGGTCAAAACTTCAGGCAGTAATTTTTTTTAGTAGGGACTTTCAGTTTCCTTGGAAACCTGTTTATTTCAAGTGCATATTCAGGATATTTTTCTGAAATGTATTTCTTCAGTAGATTGATGCAATAGAATCATTTGCTAAATCAAATCCATTTGCCAGTTGTCCAGTAAGCTGAAGAGTTCACCTTTGTGCCTGCAAAAAAAATTTCAAGGTTTAATTGAAATCTGTGCTTTTATTACTCTCCTGAGGTACACGAAACATCTCAGTTTTCTTGAAAGAAGTAACGAAGACTTCTAGTAACATATATATAGTAGCTAATACTACTGTGTCAGTAATGTTTTCTAATGAATACTAATGAATTGGGCTCTATTATTTATTCTTATGCTCTTATTCCTCTTCAGTTGAGGAAGTCTGCTCTTTAAAATGAGTTGCTCTTAAAATGAGTTTATTATTAGTTATGTATCATACTGACTTCTGATGAAAACAAAAGGTATCATATTTTTAATGTATCTATATGAGTGTGATGACTGGTTTTAGATTAGTGTTATACTTCTGTTTTTGTTTGTTACTTAAATGCTCATTTTATTTATACATTTTTAATCCCTCACCTTTTTTTCCCAAATTACAGCAAAGTGTATCTACGGAGGCAAAGTGCTAGCAGAAGGTCAACGAGTATTAGCTAAGAGCTGCAGGGAATGTCAAGTAAGTTTAAGTTGTAGAACCTTTCCCTGATTTTAAATGTGTGATGTCCAAATGCGATGATAAGTTAATATTTTTTTTTAAAGCTCTCCTCATGCAAATGTGATGTCCATTGTCTTGGAAAGGTGACCTTGAAGTCAATGAAAGCCACAGACATGTAAACAAGGCAGGAATATGACCTTTGCGGTGTAGTAAAAATGTGTGAAGTGACTTGGAGGGATGTTTCCTCTTTGATGTCTTGATTTTATGAGGCTGACAAAGAGGAAGTAGCACCTTGAGCCAGCTGCAAATTTAAGCCACACATGCTAAAATTTGGAGCAACATGGCTTTTGTTTGAATTATTCTAAATTTGCCTAAGTATTTCTTAAACTATCTATCTTGCTCTACTACTATTTAAGGTAAATTATGAAGGACTGGGCTGAGGTCTTTCTCTGTCAAGTGCATAACTCTTAGGCAACTAAAGATATGGAAAAGGCTGAGGTGCCCAGTGATTTCTTTCCGTCAGTCTTCACTGACAAGAGCTCTAGCCATATCACCCAAGCTGCAGAAGGCAAAGGAGGGAGCTTGGAGAAGGAAGTTCTGCCTGCTGTAAGAGAAGATCAGGTTTGAGACCATCTAAAGAAATTGAAGGTGCACGAGTCCATGGGACCTGATGAGATTCATCACAGGTTCTGAGGGTACTGGCAGATGAAGCTGCTAAGCTCATGGCAGTCTGGTGAAGTTCCCACTGACTGGAAAAGGGGAAACATAACTCCATGTTCTAGAGGAGAAGAAAAGAAGGTCCAGGGAACTATGGGCCAGTCATTTTCACCTCTGTGCCTGGCAAGATCATGGAGCAGATCTTCCTAAACATCCTACTAAGGCACATGGAAAATAAAGGTGAGGTGATTGGTGGTAACTAACTCGGCTTCACCAAGGGAAAGTCATGCCTGATAAACTTGGTGGCCTTTTATGATGGAGCCATAGCAACAGTGGATATAGGAAGAGCAACTGGTGTCATCTGTCTGAACTTGTGCAAAGCATTTGCTGTCTGGCCAACAAATTGGAGACAAAGGGATTTGATGGATGGATCACTCACTGGATGCTTGCACTCAGAGTTGTGGTAGATGGTTCAGTGTCCAAGTGGAGACTAGCGACAAGTGGCATTTGTCACAGATTGGTGCTGGGACTGGTGTTAAATAAGACCTTTGTAGGTGATATGGATAGCGAGATTGAGAGCACATGCAGCAGGCTTGCAGTTGACACCAAGCTGAGTGGTACAATTGACACGCTAGAGGAAAGGGATGCTATCCAGAGGGAACCGGACAGACTTGAGAGGTGGGCCTATGCTGAACTCATGAAGTTCAACAAGGCCAAATGCAAGGTCCTTCACCTGGGTCAGGGCAATCCCAAGCACAGGTACAGGCCCTGAGGAGAACGATTTGGGAGTATCGATTGATGAAAGATTCAACATGATCAGGCAATGAGCTCTTGCAGCCCAGAAGGACAAAGTGTATCCTGGGTTGGAATCAAGAGAAGTGTGATGAGGAGGTCAAAGGAAATTATTTTGCCTTTTTATTCCGCTCTCATGAGATCCCACCTAGAGCACTGCATCCTGTTCTGGGGCTCCCAACACAAGAAGGACATGGAGCTGTTGGAGGAGGTCCAGAGGAGGGCCACGAAGATGATCCAGAGGGCTGGACGGGCTGAAAAATCTAGGGCTCTTCATCCTGGAGGAGAGAAGGCACCAGGGAGGCCTTATAGCAGCCTTCCAGTCCTTGAAGGAGGCCTACACGGAAACTAGGGAGGGCCTTTATAAAAAGGCACGTAGCAACAGGACAAGGGGAAATGGCTTTAAACTGGAAGAGAGTAGATTTAGACTAGATATTAGGAGGAAATTTGTTACTGTAAGGATAGTGAGACATTGGAACAGTTTGCCCAGAGAGGTTGTGGATTCCCCATTCCCTGGAGGCATTCAAGGCCAGGCTGGATACAGGTTTAGGAAACTTGGTCTAGTGGGAGGTGTTCCCACCTATAGCAGGGGTGATTGGAGCTAGATGATCTTAAAGATCCCTTCCAACCCAAAGTGTTCTATGACTTATGAACTGCAGTTGGTGTTTCAGAACGTAAGTAAAAGGAGGCTGTGTTAGATGAAAACATAACAAGAAATGGTAACGAATGAGTGCTGAACGCGGTAAGTGTGGCAGAAACCAATCCTTGTCAAAACTTATCTTGGGAGAAGAAAGTAGTAGATTATTGTAAAAAACCCATTTCTCTGCTGAGACACGCATGTGTTGAAACTAGAGTATGTCTGTGTCTTTAGTGTGATTTATCACTTCAGAAAGGCATGGCTATTTTAAACACATTTGCTCCCACATGTAATTTCCAAGTATTTCTGATTTTTTTTTTTTTTTTTTTTTAATGTCTTGTTGAATTTATGGAAGGGAAGGTGATACAAGGGAAACTTGTATGTGGTATTAATAGATCAGTGTGTTAGAGCAGTTATTGGAAAGAACTATATAATGATCTGGTTATTGTTGTACGGATGACTGTACTGAGCAGTAATTTTGTGTGCACTAATGGAAATGGACAATAGCTGGTTGTAGATGCAAAAGTAGCTTGTGCAAAATTACTTTGCTGTTGTTAGTGTTTGGCTGTGTGGGGGTGCTTGACATATATACAAAGGTCCTGGCCTTGGTCCTTGCATTTACAACATGACTTAAACTGTATATCTGGGAGGGAAAGTGACTGTATGCAATGAGATGAGGAGAATGGGAGGATTTTCACATTAAAGTGAGACCAGAGTGATCTGAACTACCTCTGTGGAACTCCTCTATGCTGCAAATAAGAGCATTGTACTCATTATTGCGAGTGTGAGAATACATTTGTGAAGATGAAAAGCGCACACTGACCGTAAAATATTTCTCATATTAAGAAGGATGGAACTAATAATAAAATGCAAAGCTCTTTTCACATACTGTTAAAGGAAATGGGTACGTCAGTGTGCGTTGGAGTAATGTTGCAGTTTGCATTATTTACATCTGAATGAAAAGTATTAATAAGTATTTGAAACAGAATCTGTTAATGTGATAATGTGATATCATGGAAAAATGAGCCTCAAAAAAAAAGGGGGGGTTTTCCACAGCCGTGTTTCAAGATGATGTCAAACCTTGCTGGCAAAACTTATTCTGATTCTGGACAGTATTTAAGCGAGTGCCTCCCTCTGCTTCTACAAGAAGTAGAATCTGTTGACAGGAAGTTCATTCACTGTATCTCAAGCATGACCTTGAGTGAAACACCTGTTTATTTACTGCCTCAATTAGCAATGCTTGCTAGATAAAGTCTGAATGGTGGCGAGTCCAAACTTTTGCTGTAAGTGATCATTTTCTATTCAGTACAGGCCTGCTGGTGGACAAGGTATGGAGATTTTTGCTGCTTTTCCACTTGTGTTGTATAACTAAAAGAAAGAGCTCTGTGCTTAGGGAAATGGCTCAAAAAAAAAAAAAAAAAAAAGTTCTGTGTGTGGTTTAATTTCCAGACTTGAAAAACAGATTTCAAGTTTGAAAAGCTGTTGATCCGTGAAAGACATACAGTAGGTGGTACAGGTCAGCTGTCAGTTTATTAATGTAGAATGACTTAAAAATACTGAGGGGAAAAAATCTTGAGTCTGTAAAGGAGAATGTATTTGTAGGTACATTAATGTCAAGTAGATGAAGTTAAGATTACATGCTTCAATTTTTATTGAAGATACAGTTTTATTTCTTGCATAAGAATCAATTTAAGCTAACAAGGCTTTTAACTTAGATTTGTCATCTTGCAAAGATAATAATACCGATGGATCCATATGGACCAAAGGTTTTCTTGATCAATCTATGAACAGTTATTAGTACTGAAAACTAATCCAGACTAACAAGCGTACTTATGTTGAACATCCTTTTAACCATAAGCACTGATGCTACTGATAAAGCCGTTTACTTGTTTCCAGCTGGAATCCTGCCTGAAAACACTCTAGATTAATCTACAAAGAGAAAATGGCAAAGTTAGTGCACAGGTGTTTCTAAGAATCACAGAATGGTTGAGATTGGAAGTGACCTCAAGAGATCATCTGGTTCAGCCTCCCTGATGAAGCAGGGCTGCCCAGAGTGAGGTGCCCAGGACCACAACAAATGTGGCTTTTGAAAATGTCCAAGGAGAAGATTCTGCAACATCTGGGCAGCCAGTGTGTTCTGTCACCCTAGCATAAAAACGGTTTTTAAAGTTTCCTGATATTCAGAAGGAATCTGTTTCCTTTTTGTATTGCTTGTTGTCTCTGTTCTGTCACCAGGCACCATTGGAAAAAGCCTAGCTCTGTCTTCTTTGCATCATCTGTTCAGATATTCATACACATTAATAAGATCAACTCTGTCCCCATCCCACCTTGTTTTCTGTAGGCTAAACCATCCCAAATCTCAGCCTTTTCTCACAGGAGAGATGTTCCAGTTCCTTAATTATCCTAGTGACCCATTACTGGTCACTCCTTAGTTCTTCCATCTCTTATGCCCTGGGGAGCCTTCAGCTGAACACCATATTCCAAGTATGGTCTCACCAGTAGTGCTAAGCAGAGAATCATCTCTTCCCACCTGCTAGCAAGACTTTCCCTAATGTTAGCCTTCTGTGCATAACAGGCACGTGGCTGGCTTGTGTTTGACTTAGTGTCCACTGCGACCTCCAGGTCCTTTTCTGCCTAGCTGCTTTCCAGCTGGGTGTCCAGCTGGATGTGTGCATACTGGTGCCTGTGTGTAGGGGAACTGTTAGGCCACAGCTTGCACTGGTGATTAAGCACCTGGTGAAGGGGTGTCTCTGGCCCAGGGAGCACAAGCAGATTATTTGCACCTGTGTTCCCCATGTGACCAGAAGGGGTGAAGCCACTCAGACTCATACGAAGGCCAGCCACTGATGGGAGAGTTTCTCTTGGGTGCAGGCTGCTTCCTGAGGGGAGTGCTGCACAGCCAGAGAACCCCGTCACCAGTTGGGTGAGTTCAATACTTCTTTCTGTATATGACTCTTAGCCCTCCTGTGAATACTTTTGCCTGGTATCTCAAAGGATCTGTCAGAAATAAGTAGAACACGGGGGCTGTTCCTTCTCAGATGCAGGACTTGCAAATAGTCCCGAGGTTTCAGTTACTGCATTCTCCAGACTGTTGAGGTCCCTATGGAAAACGCAAGTGTGTCTGTGATTCAGAAAACTCATGCCTGTTTGCTTTCAGTGTTTATTCCAGTTTGTGGGTTTCACCAGTGAGAGAATGTGGCTCATTTGAAGACAACAGAAAGAGATCTGTAGCTTTTGTGGGACTGGGAGGTTACTGCTGATCAGCTATAGTCCGGGTTAATGGCTGTGAATGACTTGATTCCTGTTCATAACTGGCTGATCTGCAAGATGTTACTAGTTGTTGCTAGAGTGAGGAGTCAGAGTGCCGTATGAATTCTAGAGATAGATAAGACTCTGTTAACTTTCCAGAAGCTTGACTTATAAGTTTTTCATGAAAATAAGGAATAATTTCCTACCTATAGGATTGACTGAGAGTTCTATTTGGAACTGAAAAGCTTATCGGTAATAAAAGGGATAACTTTCTCCCCCAGTGAAAACAGCAAGAAAGAATCAGAGTAACCCAGACATCTTTGTGTTGTTTTCTGAAGTTAGCCATCTGACACGAGCTGCCTGTAGTTCAAATTTCCATTGCATGTCACTGATTCGGCTTATACCCTATTCTTTTTTCTTAATGTACTTAGCTTTGTAGTTAAAGAAACTTAATTATCTTATAAATGTTTAATTCCAGATCTCATTCTTTGTATGCAAAAATGAGGGCTTTTTTGGTGTCTATGTCCATCCAGAATGTGTGACTGTGTATGTGAATTGAACATAAAAAGTCAGTCATTTTCCTAAGGCAGCCTGAAGCAATAATTCTGGCATGTGAACTGCTCTTACTTATAAGTCAATAAAATCTGAAATCTAATGATGATAATTATTATAATTGGATCTGTACTAGCTTATACCAAATTGATTATAATCCAAAGAATACTCAATGTGAAAAGATTTTTATTATTTTAAAGCTTCTGAATGATGTTTGTTTTCTGAAGAAGAAGATTTTGCAGCAAGTTGGAAAATTTAGGGAAATAGAGTCTTAATGGTAATTGAGTTAATAGAAATCTTTTTTTTTTTTTTTTTTTTAAATCTCCTGATTCATTAAGACAGTATGATTTTGATTTGAATTTTTTAATAGCTTCTTGATTTATCCTGTTGACTTATTTGACTGTAACCTTTTTTTGATCTCTGGCCATCCATTTGACTAGATTGATTGCCAGCTGACACTTTTTGTTCATATGATGGCATCCTTTACCCCTTTTGCAATTGTCTTGTCTGAGCTTTAATAACTGGTGAGTTATAACAAGAGCTTTATCCAGCTGGTAGTTTGATAATGTGATAGTAAATGATGGCTCACTGTGCCTGGTTCTTTTATCACCTTTGTTACTGTGGTTGCACATGGAACTGTGAGGCATTCTTCCCTTTTACTGTGGAAGTCAGAGCAGGAAATCTAACACTTGCATTAACTTCCCTGCTTGTGCAGGCACTTGCTTTGATGTGTGCTGTATGATAGTGTAGGGAGTTGTTAGGGTTTTTTTTAATCAAAAACACAAACCAAACTAATAAAAAAAATGAGTTCTTCTTTGTTTTTCTTGACAGCAAGTTATGCAACTTGCAGCAAGGGCAGCTTGAAAGCAAGGAAAGACAGTTTGACCTTACTTAAACTTAAGATTGCAGTTTCTGGAGCAGCCACTGGTAGTGTCTATAAAATGGTCGCTTCCTGTTTCTTGAAGTTGCTGGGCACCTTATGCATTGTCTGCACTTTGTAGACTCAGAGATATTTGCATGTGTGTAACTGTGCAGGATCTGGAGTCTGAGGAGATGCAGCTGAACCAGTGTGGCCTTGTTGGTGAGGTTAATGAACAGCAAGGGCTTCTACCTGTGCTGTTTCTGACAGCTGAATTACTCCTTCAGCATGGTATGGCACAGTGCTTTGTAGATGTGAAAGAAAGCTTCTGGCTAGCATGAGCATCTTGCTTCATACTGAATGAACAAATAGGTGCTCTCAATATGTTTTGTTCAAAGTCATGTATTTAACCCTCAGGTTATGAGATTGTTGCCTTTAACGTATCTTGTCTTTTTATATGGCTTTCCTATGCTTTCCTAGCCTTAGATGAATTTAGGTAATATTTTACATTTTCTCTGTGATTTGTTAATTTAAAACCATCTTTTTGTTCTGTATGAAAAACATTTTGGGAGGAGTGGGGCTAGGCTTATATTAAAAAGATGGGTTGGCAATGTTATAGGCGATCAGCTTCCTTAGTGAGGCTTCTAGTCTTTTGGAAAATAAGTTTACTCAAGCGTAGGGAGTCTTGTGGCATTGCTGGTATACATACTACTAAGCAAAACTTGTTTGCAAGTATACTTGCCAGTACACTTGAAGGAGAAGGTATACTGATGAAATAAATACAGGTATGGAGAAGGGTGGAGTGGAAGAAGGAAAAGGAGAAGGCTGCTTTGAGGTGAGATTATAAGAATCAACTGAACAAAGAATAGGACAGCGGTTTGATCTGCATGATGAAGCTGATTTTTCTGAATAGAAAGAAGATGAAGTGAAACTGTTGCAAAATCTCCCCAGATCTGTTCTATGTCAAGTATTTTAGAGAATTCCTACAAGCAACTAGAGCCTTTGTGCACAATCTCACTCTAGTAGAAATCAAAATTGTGGGACTGTCTGTACCTTGATTTACATTTCATATAGATATTACTGTATGAATACATCAAGATTGTATTTCTGCTTTGTCATACCTTCAGAGGAATTTTTGGAAATTGGGTGATCAGTACTTCCAAAGAACAAAGTTCTTTCCAAACAAAAAAACACAAAGAAAACACCTCAATAGCTTGCTCCCTGCTGATATGCTGTTGTTACTAGAGATTGCCAGAACTGTAGATGGAACACTGTGATCCTTTCCCTTGCATGTGCTTTCACTAATGTCATCTTGTAAATTTTTCTTTTTAAACTATTATTTATTTTCAGAATGGAGTTTTGGTAAAAGTAACAGAGACTTGTCCACCACTGAACTGCTCAGAAAAAGATCATGTACTTCCGGAGAACCAGTGTTGCAGTGTTTGCAGAGGTAAGCCAGAAGCTATGTGTACTTTGAAGGAATGTATGTTGTTGATTCATCTGGGGGATATGTTGTAAGGAACAATTCCTTTTAATGATACATTAGGTACCTGTATAAACTCGAGTCTGTAATTAGCCTTCACGTAATGCCAGATTGTGATTTTCCTTTGGGTACAAGACTTAACAGATACATGGGTGTAATTGCTGTGAATTAGAGAAGGAGGAGTTGGAGGAGAAAAGGTCTGATACCTCTTATAAATTCCCCTTAAAAAGAAATTGTTTAAACAAGGTATTTTGTTGCTTGAATGTGCCACTGCACTGAAGGTACAGGGCTATAAGCTTTTGGGGGGTGACACTTGAGCTCTGTTTTAAAATGACAGTAGAAATAAGGTTTGAGTTTCTGTGCTTTGAGGCTGATTTAGTACTGAAGTCTTTCAGGACTTGTTTATGAGATGAGCCAGACAATTATGAAATCAAAAAGACAAAATGACCCTACGGTGCAGAATGGCATTTTTTTATTCCTTTCTATAAGATGTTGAGACATAGGTTTCCTTTCATTGTTCTCTTTCATTTCTTGTGAATCCTGGTTGCATGCTACACCAGACTCATGAGCACGCTGTAGCTATTGTCACTGAAAAAGTTCTCTTCAATGAGGATAACACAAGTTTCACAAGGTCAGAGAACTCAAATAACTTTTCTTCTTCAGGTGTGTTGTAAGCAGGGACCTATTGGGTGTAAAGTGTTAAGGTCATATCCAAGGAATTATTATTTTATGCTACTTCTGTTCCACACTTTTCCTATGGCACTGAGACTCAGATAAGCTTAAGGGATCTGGCCTCTCAGAGCAGGACTTAGCAATGCACATCAGGCATGTTCAAGCGAGAGGCATGCCTAGTGAAGGTGAAATATTTCCAGGCTTAGGTGGTTTCTTGCCTGTATGCAAATTCCTCCAGAAAGCCATCGTAGATGTCATTGAAGGAGTTCTGGATCTGTCCCTTAGCCAGTGAAAAATAATTAATAAACACACGCAGTTAAATATTTACTAAGGTCTTGAACTTGCTAGTTTATGTGTGTGGTTGCAGGGGCCAGCACATTTGACACAGTTTGCTGGATGATGGACTAAGAATATACATGCTAATTTTATAAAGCACTTTCTAGAAACATCTGTAACTATTTAAGCAAGCACTAAATGTTACTTCTCTGTCCCTCAGAGGGCTCTGTGTCTTAATGATGCTTAACAGATGGCCCAGTTTGATGCAGTGTAGCACTGAAAAAAAAAAAAATGAGTTTCATTACTTTAAAAAGTACTAGAAATCAGAAAGTTTGAAAGTTGATGAAAGGTAAGTTCTATAATCACTCAATTCTGTGTTATTGCTAATGATAGGTAATCCTTTTAGATATTCATCCCCAAACTGTTTTTATTATTTATTAAATAACATGAATATCTGTACTTGTGGGATGGTTTCCAGAGGCAGAGGAAGGAATTGTACTTCTGCTTCTTATGGATTCTGATAGAGCTTTCAAAACGGTACATCAAACTTCCATGTCACATCTACTTTAGTTGATACTAAAGCAATCCTTTTTCTAAGTTCATCTTTGCTTTTTCAAATTCTTTTCAGAATTATGCGTAAAGATATGATCACTTTTGTCAACTTGATAAAGCAATAAATTGACCTTGGCACTCTTAAGTCTTATTTTATTATATATCTTGAGTTAGAATATGTATTTGACATTTTTGTCTCTGTTCCATGTGATCCAAATTAATAGAAAATAATTTTATTTTATGTAGAGCACGGATATATATATACATATACATAAATATATATATGTATATTATATATATATAAAGGAAAAAGGAATATATTATATTTTTTGGTGTGGGTTTTTTCATATAAACAATTGTGCTCTGATATGGCCAACAGGCCAGAGTTGAGAAAGAAAAGAAAGCTTCTCCATTTTCAAATAATAACTTCCTTAAGAGACAATGTTCATCTTTTTTGCCCAAGAAAATGCAGTGAGGAAGAAATCCAGTGGTAAATATAGCAATTAGCAATGAATGCTGTTTGGGGCATTTGCAGGTAACGTGCAAATTTCACTTTGTGTGTGCAAAGACAGAGGTAATACTTTGTATATGCATTTAGTTGTAACAGTCAACAGGGTGATTAATAAATCTTTACTAGTAATATTAAATTAGATGGCTAACAATTCTGTAAAAAGCTTATTAGTACACACTGTTGACTGGCAGATTTTGTTTTGTATCATATCTTTGTGTCAGGCTTTGCTTTCTTTAGCATTCAGTTGTTGAAAAGTGGAAAGCTTCTACTGAATTTCATGTTCTGTAGAATGTATCTTTGATGAAATAAAATACCTTTGCTGAACTAAATTTGGACAAGATTAGGTTTGCAGCCTTGGCTTTCCTAGTGGCAGCAAAAGAGTTTCAATTGAATGAAAGAATAAATGTAGAGGGCCAACAGAAGGAGAAACAAGAAATATGGAAACTTCATGATGCTGTGGTATAAGACTGTGCACTTTTCAGTGATCTCTAATATCTGCCACACTAATAGCTAACTGCTTAAAATAGAGTATGCAAGAAAAAAACAGCCCAGTATAAGAAACTGGTATTTATGGTGGTGGAAATCATGAATCAACAGAAGTCTGAGTTGAATACTGTAACGTACACAGCTGGTGGGCTTCCTAGATAGTCATTATTTGTAAATGATTAGAAAAGTAAAACTGGTGAATGAGACCTTTTCTTCCTCAGGTTTGCTAATGCTAATTTATAGTATGAGTATATGATAACTAAAAGCCAATTTCAGGATTTCAGTAAAATCATAGGATTGTAGAATGGCTTATGTTGAAAGAGACCTTGAAGATCATAGAATCACAGAACAGCCTGAGTTGAAAAGGACCACAATGATCATGTGGATTCAACACCCCTGCTGTGTGCAGGGTCGCCTACCACCAGACCAGGCTGCCCAGAGCCACATCCAGCCTGCCCTTGAATGACTCCAAGGATGGGGCATCCACAGCCTCCTTGGGCAACCTGTTCTAGTGTGTTACCACCCTCTGTGTGGAAAAACTTCCTCCTAACATCTCATCTAAGCCTCCCCTGTCTCAGTCTAACACCGTTCCCTCTTGTCCTCTCACTATCTCCCTTCATCAACAGCCGTTCCCCCTCCTGTTTATGTGCTCCCTTCAAGTACTGGACGGCTGCACCTCATGGTCTCCCCGGAGCCTTCTCTTTTCCAAGCCAAACAAGCCCAGTTCCCTCAACCTTTCCTCATAGGAGAGCGGCTCCAGCCCTCTGATCATCTCAGTGCCCTCCTCTGGACCCGCTCCCAGAGCTCCACGTCCTTCCTGCACTGGGGGCCCCAGGCCTGGACGCAGCACTGCAGATGGGGCCTCACAAGAGTGTAGAGGGGGACGATCACCTCCCTCTCCCTGCTGGCCACCCCTTTTTTAATGCAGCCCAGAACACAGTTGGCCTTCCGGGCTGCAATCTCACACTGCTGCTCACACTCATGTCCAGCTTCTCATCCACCAGAAGGATCCCCAAGTCCTTCTCAGCAGGGCTGCTCTCAAGGAGATCTTCCCCCAGTTTGTACCAAAACCTGGGATTGCCCCGACCCAAGTGCAGCACCCTGCACTTGGCCTTCTTGAACCGTATCAGGTTTTCAGGGCCCCACTTCTCCAGCCCATCCAGGTCCCTCTGGATGGCTTCCCTTCCTTCCAGTGTATCGGCCGCACCGCTCAGCTCGGTGCCATCTGCAGACTTGCTGAGGGTGCACTCGATGCCCTCATCTGTGTCGTCGATGAAGATGCTGAAGAGCACCGGTCCCACGACCGACCCCTGAGGGACACCGCTTGTGACAGGCCTCCACCCTGACGCAGAACCATTGATCACAACCCTTTGCCTGTGTCCGGCCAGCCAATTCCTAATGCATCTAACAGTGCCTCCTTCACATCCACACCTCTCCAAAGTAGAGAAGGACGTGGTGAGGGACCATGTCAAGGCTTTGCAGAAGGCCGGTAGTAGTCCATCCACCGTTCCTCCCCCACCCACCGAAGCCGTCACTCCATCACAGAAGGCCACCAGATTGCTCGGGCACGATCTGGCCTTGGTGAAGCCGTGCTGGCTGTCTCGAATCACCTCGAATCTATCTCGTATGTGCCTTAACGCAGCCTCCAGAAGGATGTGCTCCATGATCTGCCCAGGCACAGACGAGAGGCAAAACCTTCCCTGGAGAACCAGGCTGATCGAGTCCACGCTCATCGGCATCTCCCACAGGCCCTGTTCCAGCTCTCACTGTCGTTCTGGCCCTCCCATGACCTGGCGTCCCTCTGTCAATGTCTCACCAGCTGTGTCACCAGAAGAGACTAGAGAACGCTAGAGAAGGAAGAACTCACATCTGGCCCCAAGGAATGTAATCCTCCTCTCTCCCACAGATCCCCACTTTCTCAGAGTGATGTCTCACTGGACAGGAGCGTTCCTCACAGCCAGTCAGAAAAGCAAGCAGAGCCTGAGACCAAGGAGTCCCTCCCTGACGTGCAGCTCTCGGGCAGCTTCCCTTGCACAAAGCGCTGGCCCCAGCCGCATGCATTGTCGCACGCACTCGTGTGGGTAGTTGTTGGTGTCTAGACATGAAGGAGACTTGTTAAGCGCTCTGCTGACCCGTAGGGATGGATGGGAAACTACAAGGGGGGGCTTCAGCGTGTGTATAAAGGATGGAAGGACCTGCAGTTAAGATGCTGCAAGCGCTATGCCTTGTCACCCAAGGGAAACGGTCAAACAGCTGCTTTGGGACAGAATGTCTGTGGTGCTCAGAAAGTGTGGCCTTCCAAGGTACTTCAAGTGCCCCAAAGAACAGAAGCAAGCAGTGACGATTCCTTTCTTTCTCCATTCTAATACCTGTAGGTAGCGCGCTGGAGAGAGGCTTTGGAGGCTTTCCTCAGCCTCCTCTTTTCCTCGTACCTTGACAAAAGTGGACGGCCAGAGAACAAGACGACCTT